CTATTCCCGTGGGGACCCTCCTATATTTAAAATGAGAAACTTTGTTTTTCACCAGAAATAATTAACATTTCCTACCATGTTAAACTGTACAGCTGTAATACTAGCTGTGCTGAAACTGTTAACTCAACCGCACTGAAACTTCTCAAACCAAACAACAATTGTCGTGTTTAAACTCTTTATTTATACACATGGCACCTCAATATTAGCAAATGGCAGAATTTAATTTCAAAATAAAAGGCCAAGTGTTGAATTTATTCAAAATTTAAACAATGTAAAAACAGCCATTAACATTTTTTTTAACTGACCTTCAATGCAAAATGAAATGAAAAAAAGTTCTGCTGTACACAAATGCAAAGAAAACAATCAATTTTGTTTACTCCAGGCCAGCTGTGTGTAAACTAAACATAAGCTTTAACATGAAAAAAGGAACAAACAAAACAAGCAGCCCACAAAATGTGCAGGTATGCATTTGTCCTCAAAACTTATAGTCTTTTAGCACTGTTGCGCTTCAGTGCTGTTATTTTGTTTTTAACATAATACTTCACCGCTTTCCATGTCCTATTTTCCAGTTCCTTTGGTGAAGCTTCAATGCATGAAACACAATCCGCCTTTCCAGGGACTTTCCCACTCTCTATGAAGCTTTTTAATGTTTTTTCTACGGCACGGGTCTCCACAGCTGACCAGCTTCTCTTCTGTGAAGCTCCTGAGAACACACAAAGGTATTAATAGGTCTGTAATAATTTTAATTGAAGGGGCACTCAAGTACACTGCACAACATTACAAGCAGTAAAATACAGAAAACCACAAAAGTACAGAAAAATAGTGACACTGCTGTTATGTTTGTGGATTGAAAGCAAATATAAACCAATGAGTCTTAAGTGAGGATTTGAAAAGAGAATGAAGTGATATTTCTGATGTTAGTGATTTCCAGAGCACAGTGGTGAGACGCGTATGAGGGACAGACAAGCAAATAGGAAACTGAACAAGTGAAAATACAACATGTGAGCAAGTGAAATAAAAAGTAACCCCCATTTATTTTTGCCACTTCAGTGGAGGTATCGTACTGCATGTAAATATCTCAAAAGTGACAAACGTCCCCATATGGCAGGGGTTTAAAAATCCAGTCCTCAAGGGCCAGTATCCTGCTTGTTTTCCAACGAGCCTGCCCTTGTAGCTTCTTATTGGCAAAGCACACCTGATCCAGGTAATCAGCAGCAGGTAGGGCAAGAATATCTCAAAAACAAGCAGGATACTGGCCCTCGAGGACTGGAGTTTGACACCTGTGCTGTATGGTGTTATACAAATGCTGGAGGAACAATGAAATCATTAAACAGATTTACAGTCCCCTGAAAAAATTTGGACAGTTAGGCCAAGTTCTTCTTTTTGAGTCACCTAAAGAGGTTTGATTTCCTTTGGGTTTAACTTCAAAGATAATTGAATTCAATTCAATTTTATTTATATAGCGCCAAATCACAACAAAAGTCGCCTCAAGGCGACTGATAAATATCAGACCGCAGATTTTCCTATCAGGATTTCAGGTTTTTACATCTATACCTGATGAACAATTTAAAAGATCAAAGTTTGTTTAAACCCACCCATTTTTCATGTAAGCAAACATATTGAACAGAAAGAATTAACATTGAATGAAGTAAATAACATGTAATATTTCACTGCATAATAATTGATGCCGGCCCTGAGAAAAAAAACAAAACAAAACAAAAAAAACATATTGGTGGATCTTTAGTTTAAACAAACAATATCATCTAAGTTGATTGTCTGAGCCAGATGTAAATAACTGGAAATAAAAGCTGGTAAATCTGGTCTAGTTTTCATCAGCGGCGCCTCATTTCTAAGGCTAAGCGCTATATTCCTTAGAATGACCTGGAAAAACTTATTAATTCGTGACTTCCAAGTTGGACTACTGCAACTCTCTTTACATTGGCCTTACCTCCTCCCTTCTCCTTAGATTGCAGACTGTCCAGAATGCGGCATACCTCGCAGCAGCTAGCTCGGGGTGGGGGGGTGTAGAGATTTAGAAAATGTTTAGAGTCCACCCTCATTTCTGCTGCTCCCCCTGCAAATAAATTTGGGTGCTTGGTGTGAGTGAGACGGATACAGAGGAAGGGTTAGATGGAGGCAGATGATTTGCTGCGGAGACCCCTGAAGAGAGTAGCCAAAGGAAAAGAAGTACTTTTGTCTTTAGACAGCAGACACTTGCTTGTCAAATTTAAATGAGCTATCCAGTAATATGCCCAAATTACTGGCATAATCAGAAAGGGAGCTAGCAAAGGGCATCAGAGCAGCACACATTTGGTCACGGGGAATTTTACTGTCAAACACCACGATCTCAGTTTTTTTTTCCGTTCAGGATAAGAGAGTTATTTTTGAACCAATCTTTAACCTCACGCATGCATTCACGAAAATAATTAAAAGACATTAAGGTCGTCTGTAATCTCAAAGTAAACCTGTATATCATCAGCATAGCAATGAAAGCGAGAAGTTGCCCAAATTAACCGAGAATGACCAGTCAGCGAGATAAGATTTTAACATAAAGACCAAGTCCAAAATATGGCCTTTAACGTGGGTTGGTGTATTTACCCACTGAAGGAGGTTAAAAGAGTCAGTTAAAGCAAGGAAGTCTTTAGCAAGCAGGTCATGCTTGCAACAGATGTGTATGTTAAAATCAGTAAGAACGGTGTCATATTTAAAAAGAACGGAACCCAGGAAGTCGGTAAAGTCCGAGATAAAACACTTGTTATATTTGGGTGGTCGGTAGACCAACACTCACAAAGTGCTCGTGGAAGCAGTCATCTCCAATAACTGAACTTCAAAACTAGCAAAGTTAGGTGAGGAAAGTTGC